GCACTGGTCAAACAGGGCTTCACTGTGCAGGTGGAGAGTGGAGCTGGAGAGGAGTCAAAGTTCTCTGACCAGCAGTACAAAGATGCTGGAGCTACCATCACTGACGTCAAGGGAGCCCTCGGTTCAGACCTGGTCCTCAAGGTTCGTACAGCTCCGCTACTTGGTTTGCTAACAGGAAAGTTCTGTCTACAGCTTATTTGAGCCTACAGATTACTGAATTTGTCATCCTGAATTTCCACTCATGATTTGTACCATACCTTTTCCACTTTAGGTTCGAGCCCCCACTTTGAGCGAGGTAGACCTCTTGAAGCCCAAGTCCACCTTGGTGAGCTTCATCTATCCAGCACAGAACCCAGAGCTAATGATGAAGCTGTCAGAGAGACACAGCAATGTGCTGGCCATGGACCAGGTGCCCAGAGTCACCATCGCACAAGGCTACGATGCACTCAGCTCCATGGCTAACATCGCTGGGTAAAGAAAGATATACATTTTTAGCTGCTAGGAAATGTCTAGTTATTGTAAACATGGCTTGAATGTTTGTTTTGTAGGTACAAGGCTGTGGTTTTGGCTGCCAATCACTTTGGCAGGTTTTTCACTGGCCAGATCACAGCTGCAGGAAAAGTACCCCCGGCTAAGGTAACAGCAAGTCAACTTGAGTGATCTTTCCTTTTTCTTCTTGGTGTTTCTCAAGTAAAGCATGTAACCATGGACTGTGTCCATCTCCTGATGTACCTGTTTTTGTACACAGGTCCTGGTTATTGGAGGTGGAGTGGCTGGTTTAGCTGCAGCAGGGGCAGCCAAGTCGATGGGAGCTATAGTCAGAGGATTTGACACCAGGTATGGGGTTTGGGGGGGTGGCGAGGGTCTTAGACTGCAGACTGAGTGATGATAGTTGTGCTGATCATGATTGACAACACCCTGACTGTTTCATGACTGTTAGGCCAGCAGCCCTGGAGCAGTTCAAGTCATTTGGGGCAGAGCCCTTAGAAGTTGACCTCAAGGAGTCTGGCGAGGGGGTCGGAGGTTACGCCAAAGAGATGTCTAAGGAGTTCATTGAGGCTGAGATGGCCCTTTTCGCCAAGCAGTGTAAAGAGGTTGACATTCTCATCAGTACTGCCCTGATTCCAGGTCGGTCACATTGGGACCTTCTCCCACTCCTGTGTTATCTTTTGGTGTTTGAAGCTGCATTAATCACTTGCAAGTGTGCTGAGCTAAATCTGTTAGCTTATTAATTTGGTCTATAAACCTGGAAGTTTACTGTATAATTTGGACTCAGCATCTCTCATTAGTCCTTGTTAACAGTGGTTTTCTGAAAGAAACTTGGAATCCCACCTGTAAGTTACTGTTCTACAGCTGCCATACGTTTCATGTTGGCTGGTGATCATCCAGCAGCTAAAGGGATATACTGTATAATTCTTAGCAGTTGGTGAGAACTAAAACAAAGCTGGAAGAAAAAAAAGAGTAAATAGAACATGCAGTACAATATCAGGTGGACACACACGACCTCAAGTAAGTTTTAACATTGTTTTGTGCCTTACTGTGTAAGTAGGCATTTAGTTGCTAACATGTTAGCCATAACAACTTGGCAAGCTTGTTTGATGCACATGGATTTGTGGATCTGCTGTCCTCTGGCTTTCCTGAACATTAATCCATCTCACCATTCTTCTGTTTCCTTTCCACCATGCAGGGAAGCGGGCCCCCATCCTTATTAAGAAAGAGTTTGTGGAGTCGATGAAGGACGGCTCTGTAGTGGTGGATCTGGCTGCAGAGGCGGGGGGGAACATTGAGACCACCAGGCCTGGTGAGCTGTATGTTCACAAGGTGAGCTTTTCTGCTTGAAACAAAAGAATCCTGTCTTTTATGTTTTGTTCAACAATATTAACAAAACTTACTATTGGTATTCTTTTCTTTTCATAACAAGGGAGTAACACACATTGGCTACACAGATTTGCCCAGCCGCATGGCCACCCAGGCCAGCACCCTGTATTCAAATAACATACTGAAGCTGCTGAAGGCCATTAGCCCAGACAAAGAGTACTTCTATTATGAGCCCAAAGATGAATTTGACTATGGAACAATTGGTCATGTCATCCGTGGAACTCTTGTTCTGAAGGTAGGTCCCCTCCCCAGCTTGGACACACACTACATCTCAGCATTTACCCTTTTTAAATAGTAAATCACTTAATACACATGTTCTTCCTGTTGTTGACATGTAGCATGTATCAGGTTTATTATTTAGTGCAGTATTCTTCACCTGCCATACCTTGTATAGAGAGTAAATGCCCCTCTTGGGATAATAATTGGTGCAGTATTGTAGTTTTATTGTTATAAGTGTCTACTGGCAGCCTCAGGCTCCACTGGTATCCCTCCCTCTCAGCACAAACCATCTCGTCCTGTCGTGCTGGGATACTGGACCAAATGAATATTAAAATCCCAATCCCAGCTGAGAATAGCTCAAATTAGATCCCAGCTAGAATGTTATGAACATTGCAAAAGATACTTATCTAGGAATTTTGGCTTTGACACATTGTTTAAAGCAGAGAAAACATGCAGCCTCGACAGGACATATCAGTTTACCCCTTGTTAAAGTAAGCATTATTGAGGCCCCTTAAAAGAGAATTTATCTTTCAAAACCACTGGTGACTGGTAAAGTCTTTGTCTGTTTCTCACGCAAAACTCTGTGGATGTTCTCTGTTCTCACACTGGTACTCTTCTTTTTTTTTTTGTGTTGCATGGTGTATCCAGGATGGCAAAAACATGTTCCCGGCCCCCCTCCCTAAAACAGCCCCCCCATCCCCAGTAAAACAGAAAACAGTTGCAGAGTTGAAGGCTGAGAAAGCAGCTGCCATTTCTCCCTTCCACCGCACCATGACCTCTGCTGGCATCTACACTGCAGGTCAGGCTTGGACACAGACATGTGGCACCATTTCATGTACTGTGAAGTTATTTCACAAAGGGTTTGTGATCCCCCTCAATTCTGTACAAAAAAAACAAAACAAAACTACATTTATATTAAAATAAGCAGTTACTTAAATAACGCTAATGGAAATCGAACACAATGGCATTCTTTAGTTTTTATTCAGGCTATTATTTTATTTGGCTTGACAATATCAAGCTGTCAGCTTTTCTTACTTTTATGTTTAAACTTTGGTTGTATAATATATAGCTTTTCCAAATGGAGCGGAAGCCAATAGTTGACAGACGGAACGGTCAACATCTATTTTTGTGATTGATCATTTAAGTCAATCTCAAGCAAAAATTTCAGACATTTTATTGGTATAAACCTCAAATGTGAATATCTGCTACTTTTTCTTGTCTTACATCCTAGTAAATCATGTTGTTCCTAATCATTTATTTTCTTGCTTTAATGGTAAAAACAGACTGGAGGAGAATAACAACTGAAAGTGAACATTTTCCCCACACTCCAGCAATGTGGAAAGAACTTTTCCACAGGCATCCAAACCTAACAACTGCTCTGCTCTCTGTAGGTGTGTCCACCTGTCTTGCACTGGGCATCATCTCTCCAAACGCAGCTTTCACTCAGATGGTCACGACCTTTGGCTTGGCTGGGATTGTGGGATACCACACTGTGTGGGGTGTGACCCCCGCTCTGCACTCACCCCTCATGTCTGTCACCAATGCCATCTCAGGTCAGGGGTCAATGTAAGATGGTTACAACACCTAGTATAGTTTTTTTGTTTGTTTTGTTTTGATGTTCTGTCTGTTCTCTTGTCAGGTCTGACAGCAGTAGGAGGACTAGTGCTGATGGGTGGAGGTTTCACACCTTCCACCCTGCCTGAGAGTCTCGCTCTGGCTGCTGCCTTCGTTTCCTCCATCAACATTGCCGGTCTGACATTAAACAGTTGAACACAAACTAACAACAGGGAACCCAATTTCATTGCACGCGCAATCAAATGAAAATGGTGTGTGTGTGTGTGTGTGTGTGTGTGTGTGTGTAGGTGGTTTTCTCATCACCCAGAGGATGTTGGACATGTTCAAGCGTCCCACTGACCCTCCGGAGTACAACTACCTGTATGCACTGCCTGGGGCTGCATTTGTTGGGGGCTATGGTGCTTCAGTGGCAGCTGGATATAGCATTGAGCAGGTAACAGGATACACATCCCATCATTCCACTCACATTTGTTCCTGTTAAATATATTTAAGTGGTATTAGCATGTCAATGAAATGACTGAGTATGTGGTATTTTATTGTGTTGTTTTTTTTTTGTTTTGTTTTTTTTTTTTAAATATAAATGCGGCACAGGATGCTAATGATGAGTATTAGGGTGGCTTTGGCATTAAGATTTAAAATGGCAGAATACTGAAGAGTGTCCATCACAATTTCCCAGAGTCTCCAAGGTGATGACTTTTAACTTGTTTTGTGTGCCAAGTAGCCAAAAACCTAGCAACAGCCGAGGCCGTGGCTTTATGTTTTCACCCATCCCATTTTCATGGCCACAGTATCTCAAGAACACCTTCAGAGTATTTATTAAAATTTGGCACAAATAGCCACTTGGACCTGAGGATGAGCTGATTTAGATTTTGGTGGTCAGGGTCACTGTGAACAGTTTGTCCCATTTTTGTGGGTGCGGTATCTCATGAACATCTGAAGGGTATTTATTTAGCTCTCTGTCAAACCTCTGTAAAAACCATCTTAAAGTGAGGACGGCTTATTTCTTAGTAGAAATTATTCACTCAAATCCAGATCAAAGATTTTTATTGTCAATTCACTGTATGTGCAGGACATACAGAAAAATGGAAATACTGTTTCTTTCTCACCTAATGTTGAATGCCCATACCATTTGAGAAATTAAAATAGAATAAAAGTAGAATAAACAGAATATGAAAACTGAATTCAAGTAATAAGGATAAACTAGATGGTACAACCTAATGGGCTATGATGAAACTCAAAGCCATGTGCAAATAATAAAAGGATTGTCAGGTGACATACATGTCAGTTCAGTTTTATTTGTATAGCAACAAATAATGTACATCTTTTATTAAATTCCTTCAAAGTTAAAATGACACATAATGATATGACAAGAGTTTTGACAGACATGCATGTAAACTGCAACTTAACTGGTTGGTGGAGGTATACAACCAGCATGACTTTAAGTTTATTTCTTTATTGATGATTTAAGGATGACTTAGTGAGTGCCTGTTACTGTATGATCAAGTGCTACAAAATAAGTCAGACATGTTTTTTTATTTTTTCTCTCAGATGATGTACTTGGGCTCAGGCTTGTGTTGTGTCGGGGCGCTGGCAGGCCTCTCTGCCCAGGGCACCAGTCGCCTGGGGAACACCCTGGGTATGATGGGGGTGGCAGGGGGTATCGCTGCCACCCTCGGCGCCCTCAAACCCTCACCAGAGCTGCTTTCACAGATGTCCCTGGCCATGGCTGCTGGAGGAACCATAGGTAGTTATCTGCCTGCTTTTAGACCTACAGTTGAGGTGATGTCATGATTGCAGATGTTTCTTTGGATGAAGAACCATCCTCCCCAACAGCTGATAACCAAGACTCTCGTGCTTCACAATACCCACTCTGGCACTGTTTTTATTGTTCATTGCAGCTCTGCCTTGTCTTTCATTATTTAAAGCCCTGACAAGGAGACACACTAACAACAAGGCATCTCTGGGTGTCAAGACTCAATCTATATAGAAATAAAAATAATAAAGCTGGAGCAGGCTTCCTTTGAACTCCAGCTGTTTAAAGAGCAAGACATGAATTTCTCCTTTGGGAGTTAATATAGTGCTCTATCGTTTTATTTACCATTATGAACAGGTTACATGTTATTACCTCTGCATGCAACTCCACTTTTGAAGAGTGTGAATTTTTGCTAATTCATAACAGAGCATCAATCATCCTGTACAGATACAGAGACGAGTGAATTTGTTGTCATGTGTAAATGCTGTACATGTTGTTGGCAATTTAAAAAGGCAGAATGATAAATGATGTTATGAAGAACACACTATCGGCAGAGCATGAGGGTTTACTCAGTGTTAAATCAGTGTTGCTCTGTTTTCAAGAAAACACACTTAAATACTTCACTTGGGGCTCAATAGATTGGCTTTGAAGATCAGACCCTATAACTGAAAACAGGTGTCAGTCTTTAAACAGTTTGCCCCCCTTTTCTTTTTTTTTATCTTTTACGTCATACAGTAAGTGTGTGTGGGTGTTTTTTTTTTTATTCAGACTCAGCCAGTGTGCATGAGAAGTTCAGTATCTGGTGTCTGGCATAGCCAAATATTTTAACTCGGTGAGATTTACTGTAATCTGTCTCTTTGCTTGTCTTCTTCTGGGCTGCTCTTCCTATCTCGACTAAAGGTCTGACAATTGCCAAGCGTATTGAAATCTCAGACTTGCCGCAGCTCGTGGCAGCCTTCCACAGCCTTGTGGGGCTGGCAGCTGTTCTCACCTGCATTGCCGAGTTCATGATTGAGTACCCCCACCTGGACACGCACCCAGCTGCTGGTGTAATCAAGACTGTGGCGTATCTGGGCACCTACATAGGAGGCGTCACCTTCAGTGGATCACTGGTGGCCTATGGCAAGCTTCAAGGTGCAGTAATGGAATTTACATAAAAATATATATACTGTATGTAGCTTCTGCAATACATAGAGTAAACGGATCTAAATGTTGTGCATGTGACAAGTTTCAAAGTCGGACCTTTTCAAGTCTGATCATTGCTCTTCATTTGACACTCTAATGCCTAGATAAACATACTGAGCTTTGCATCCTTGGGCGCTGATTGACTCTTTCATCTAGTTAAACCCAAAGATCCTCTGGTAAATCCAGGCCTAAACCAGGGATTTGTCTGCATATGTCAACAGTTACTAACTTACATTGCTGTGCAACTAATCAAGAGGAACACATGAGAAGCTTTCTGGTAAATTGCTATGGGTGGGGCAGGGCGGTGGCTGTGAGTGGAGGACTGCTGTCTGACCTGTGGGTGCGATAGACAAACAGCTGATCAGAGGCCTCCACGGAGAAGCGTGTTTCTATCTTGTCAAAGTATTTCTCTTTATCCTTATTTTCTCTGAAAATGTTTTTGGTTATAGGCCTCTTAAACTCGGCCCCCCTGCTGTTGCCAGGACGACACATGTTGAACGCAGGTCTGATGGCGGCATCAATGGGAGGCATGGTGCCCTTCATGCTCAGTTCCAGCTACGGTACTGGCATGGGGTGTCTACTGGGAGTGTCTGGGCTTTCCACTGTTATGGTGGGTTTCAGCGATTCATTAAGCTGACAAAAATTACAATGATAAAGCTACAGTATGTAAGTTTTTTTATTGTAGAAATCTGCTCCAAAACTTGTCTCATTGTGGAGAGGTGCTGTCGAAGCCTCCTGTGACCCAGACTCACTGAACAGCAGTGCAGGGATATTTGTTTTCAAAAGGCTTTGAGCGGGATTGACCTCTATAACCAGTCAGACATTTTCAGTTATTTCTGCTTGATCAGTAAGTTTTGTTGTATTCTTATTTATTGTAATTTCGTCACAACAAGCAGAGCATGGTGGAGGGTAGCAGATCGTAGTAGAGCACAATGAAGCAGTGAGAGGAGCGCTGGGCAGAGCAGAGGGGATTGATTTTTGAGTTTCATGCTAGCACAGAGTTGCATACTGTAGCTTTAATCATAGGAGATGTAGACTATTTTAAACCCTTAACTGTCACAGATTAAGCAGAACTCAGTTGAATATTGGTCTATTGTTGTATCTTATTGTGGAAAGAATCTTAATTGTCTCAGATGTTTTTCATACTTCCTTGTTTTGTGTCTGTACAACTTCTTTCTCCCCATAGGGTGTAACCCTGACAGCAGCCATTGGGGGCGCTGACATGCCTGTGGTCATCACCGTGTTGAACAGCTACTCTGGATGGGCACTCTGTGCCGAAGGCTTCTTATTAAACAACAATCTCATGACAATTGTTGGAGCTCTAATTGGTTCCTCTGGTGCCATCCTCTCATACATTATGTGTGTGGTGAGTAGACGCACACCTTCCGGCCACATGTGAACGTACACATTACAGTCACTACGATGGCCTGAGCCCAAGTTGTTATCCTCTTCTCTTCCAAGGCCATGAACCGTTCTCTGCCCAATGTGATCCTGGGCGGGTATGGCACCGCCTCCACAGCGGGCGGTAAGCCCATGGAGATTGTTGGTACTCACACTGAGGTCAACGTGGACCAGACCATTGACATGATAAAAGAAGCCAACAGCATCATCATCACACCAGGTACACAAGACATTTGTGACTAGTATCCACTTGGTATTCATAGGGAATGTCATTGTCAATGTTAGAGAAAAAAAAACAACTTGTGTGCAAAGACAACTAATACATTTTTATACTTCTGTATTGCTGAGCACATCTTTATAACTTGCTATATGGAATTAGGTTCTGTGTGAAAGGGTGACACAGGTTTAATACTGATTTCTGTCTTTGTCAGAGTACTGTCACAACATTGGAATTTTAAGAGAGTGCTCCATCAACTAATAGTAGACAGTTAAAACTAAAAAGGAGGCTTAACACTTGATGCAGTAACAATTTTTATTATTTGTTGCCACCTACGTTACCCCCAGTATGCAACTTAACCTGATTCACTCGAAAGCAGAGAATCTGCTCTGTTTTGCAAGTAGTGACAAATACTAATAATTCATTTTCAAACTAGTCTTCATACCCTCCAGTCACATCACTTGAGGCAATTTATCAGAGACACAGATTATACAGTTTTTACATACTCGCAAAGACCTGTAACCACATTTTAATCTATAAAATCAGTGAGGTTCCCCTTTCAGCTAAAGCCAGTTAGCCGTCAGAGGAACACCAGGGAAACTGCCCAGACATTTAAACACTACCTTTTTGTGTGGAGCCAGCGCAACAGAAAGTTTAACAGCTTTATTTTGAATGTTCCACAGTCAGAAAAACTAAATAGTAGTCAGTATGTGGTTTGAGAACAGGCAAAACCCAACAATTAAAATGTTCCCCTCTGCCTTTTGTGTCATTATAATTAGCTAAAGCTGAATTGTATCATATTTTGGTGGTATATTTAATGAATGTAAAGCCTCTGGCCCAGCAGAAAGTGGAGACAGGTGTCGCAAGGGGTTTGGGTTGACATCGGAGACAAAGGTGGAGCACAACTTTAATATCCAGTGCTCATCCTCTTCTGCACTCTAGCTTCAACTCTCCTTTATTAACTTCACCTCACAGAAAGATTGAAACTGGCTCATCTGCCAAAATGTGGATCAGAAATGTTTGTGCAGCAGTTCTGGAAGAGGCAGGCTGTTTTGCAAAGCATTTGGAAATGATCAGGATCTTTGACTGATGATTGACTTGATATTAATTACTTCAAAGCAGAATATTAAAGCATGGTGACCACAAGAAGGCGCAGTTTGTCCAAAAATGGTCCCACAGCAACCTGGTTTGAAGTGGTCTGTACAGTACACAGTGTAAAGTGAGTGTTGCTACATGGTTGTTAACAAGGCTAAAGGATGATGTTTGTTTGGGTGGAGGGATATGAGATAATGACTAACTCTTTATTTGTTAAATAGAAATACCCAGACTTCTCTGACAGTGGAGTAGCTATTGACTGGCCTGATCAGAAGGGAACACTGAATAAGTTGATACTGCTGTTGTTTTCCAACAGCTCCAAACCAATGCTAGGGCAGCTGTGTGGTCCAACATGCTGATCTGATTAAAGAAACAGAGAAGTCATAAGAGCTATTGAGTCCAGACTCAAGACGTCTCCATGTCCTGTCAACAACAAAGCTTGGCAGTGAGGAAACAAAAGGCTCAGGTTGTCTGGGGAAACACCAGGTATGGGTTACGGATGACTGGCTTAAAAAAAAACACCCAGACTAGGGCAATGCTGAACTCTGCAAGGTACCTGACCACCAGGGTTAAACGGGGGTTATGGAAATGGAGGGAAAGGAGTTCTTTGCACGCACGGGACCCAAATGCACACCACACATGCAAAGGGTTTTCTTAGAAAAAATGTCTCCCATACCAGTGAACCGTGATTTAATACAGAGAGGAAAGAGTGGAGGAGAGAAGAAAGAATGAATGGTTGAGGAACAACTTGTTCAACCCCTGCTGGATCTCTGTGCTTTCGATTAAGAACGAGTCAAATACTTCCAAATGGGCAATAAACAAAAACACAAATCAGTGTGAAATGCTGTTTGATAATCAATTTGAATACATGAGGGAGGACTTTCCAGATCGGTAAATATTTGTCACATAAAGGTTATTTTATCGTTTATGTATTTTACTGTATGTTGTAGATCTCTATATTATATATTTTTGTATAGGTTGGGGTCTGTGTGCAGCCAAAGCCCAGTATCCAATTGCAGACATGGTGAAGATGTTGAGGGAACAGGGCAAGGCTGTGAGGTGAGGATCTTTACTCGTGGTCTTTGCCTTTAGAAACAAAACTACTGTTGCTGCTTTGTTCTTAGTTGAATTTAGACTAAGGGTCTACACTCGCAGCACTTTGTCAAGATGTTTTAAGTTAATGAAAGTATTTTTTGCATTATTCTGTCAATCAAGTAAAGTAGCTTTTACACTAACTACACATTACTGATTTAAAGTAGTGAGTACAAGTTTTAAGATTTCCATTTTATGCTACATTATACTTCAGTGTTACTGTATTTCAGGGGAAAATATACCTTTTGCAATGTTATACTGGAGCAGCACATGACTAAAATGAAGGAGTAGTGAGCAGTAATAGTTTGCATCAATCTCTACCAGGTTTGGTATCCACCCAGTGGCTGGTCGTATGCCAGGCCAGCTGAACGTCCTCTTGGCCGAGGCTGGTGTTCCCTATGACGTGGTCCTAGAGATGGATGAGATCAATGAAGACTTCCCAGGTGAAGTTCTTCAGCATGCTGTTACAGTAGTTAATAGTACATGATTCGTTTTGACAGGAAGCTGTCACATAATATTACTAGAGCAATTAAGTGTGATGGTCACATCCCCATTTCATGCACACTCAAGAGAAGCCCCGCAGTGCGCCTGGAAATTTAGTCAGGGTAACCGCTTTGTTTTCTTAGCAACCAGACATGCAATCTGAGACTGGTTCTGTTTATGACGGCATAAGACAAATGTTGCGCCGGGGAACCCAACAACATCAGTGAAAACACTTGCACCGGCATTTTACTGGCAGCTTGTATAATCATCTGTCTTGTGTATGACATAAATATTTGCAACCCACAGAGACAGACTTGACACTGGTCATCGGTGCCAATGACACTGTGAATTCCGCAGCACAAGAAGATCCCAACTCTATAATTGCCGGCATGCCTGTCCTGGAGGTTTGGAAGTCCAAACAGGTTTGCATACTTTTATTTATTTTTTTTAACCTTTTAATTTGAATTGATGCACCCATAGTATCACAGAATTTTTAACTGTCTACAAAAAGTACACTTTTTTTAAAACTTCACTCCAGGTGATAGTGATGAAGCGCACCTTGGGTGTGGGCTATGCTGCAGTAGATAACCCTATTTTCTACAAGCCCAACACATCAATGTTGCTGGGAGATGCCAAGAAGACATGTGACAGCCTGCAAGCAAAGATCAGAGAGACCTACTACTAGATACCTCTCATGTACGGAGGCAGGTTGACACACACACAGTGTTTCAAACATTGGCTTTCAAGATATTTATTTCTGGAGAAAAGATTTATTGGATCTGCCACTAATGTGATTCTATTACAGAGGATGCCCAAGATTCAGAATTTTTTTTTAAGGGGTATAACACATGTACTGATTTGTAAATAAAAATATTTAACTGGATCTTAAGCCAATTTATTTCCACATTACATTTTACAATATGCACAACAGGATAATCAACTGTAGGACTTTCATTTTGTATTTTATTTACTCATATTAAACAATTAAGTGATTCATTACATATTCATAGATGAACATTTGTCACACCATCACTTACAAAATAAAAATCCAGCAATAAAAAATAAAGACATACAAGGGGCTGCAGATAAAGCTACTTTTCAGCTATAATTTAACAGCTAGTAGCTGATTTGAGGTTTTCTTCCCAACACTCTTCAGTGTTTTCCAACAGACATCTTCGCTTTGTTGACAACCGAGTGCAGGTAGGAGTAGAAGAAGAGAAGGTTATCATATTCTCCATTGTACTCCTGAGCAAGGCAGTGCTCATGGAAGTCCTTGAGGAAATAATAAATGGCCTCGATAGTAGCCAGGTAGGTGTCTGGCTTGCCCTTCTGATGGCGCCAGAAACATGTTTTCCTCATCTTCAGCTCTACCTGGAGCAAATCTGGGGGATACAGTTCAGTCAGAAAGCACCCAAGACTGAGGTCATGTTAAATAGCATGTGGGAAGCAAATTTACCCTAATAATCACCAGCAGTCGGCACAAATCCAATCTTTCATGATTACCTTGCAGTCTCTCATCTGTGCTTATCTTGTTGGTCTGATTCCATGTGCTGTCTATGAAGACCACCCTCTGTAAGGGACACGACCTTGACTCCAAGCCCTCTGCTTCACCTTGGGTCCCTGATTCTGAGTTCTCTGCAGTTTGTGTGACATCTTGGCCTTCCTCAGTTTTCAGCCTCTTTATGCGTGGTTCATGAGAGGATTCATTTGGCCTGTTGTCAGTCCTTTCATACAAATGCTGCATCATGTCTTGAACTGAGACAGCCCCTGGTCCAGGGAACACCAACACCACCTTAAGAGAGCAGAACCACAGAGAGTGAAACACCATCATACAAACCAAGATTAGAGTACAAAAATGTTTTAATGTGTTGTTCCCACTCTGTGGTGATTTATACATGAATATACACAGGAGAGAATTTTGGAAAGCACTGCCCTCTATCCCCTCAGTGCTATGAAATCGTTTGATATTCTGAGTGTTGTCAGGATGTAGTGACCTCTACGTGTGAAATGACGAGGTTTGGAACCACCAGCACTCCTCCTAGAACCAGCTGTCTCTGGCATCACTTTATAATGGACAAAGTTTGGCACTGTAATCTCTACAACAAAATTCAGTTTAGCACTTTTGAAAGCAGCAAGGATTGGTATTTAAATGCAAAACAGCAAAGCTAAAGCAAAAAAGGACAAGTAAAGTGCAGTGATAAAGGCAGCAACAGCGCAGTGTGGGCAGCTCTGTGGAAAAAGCTGTTTCTCAACCTGATATTCCAGGTTTTTAAAGTGCGACATCTCTTTAATTGATGGGACATTCTTTGTTTGTCCTCTTACCGAGTGCATTTTGTCTGCTGAGAGATCTTGCCTTTCTTTGCAGGCAGTCACCATATATAGGGTATAGATCTGGGAGAGCAGTTCCCACAGTCTTCTGAGCTGTCTTCACCTGTGACAGGTCCTCTGCTGTGCAGCTTGTATACCACACTGTGCAGCTCTGCCCAAGAAGCCCTCTGCAGAGATGAGGGAACCTCCCAGGAGGACGACCATCTCAGTAGCACTACATCAACCAGGCCTTTATGGTAGAGTGGCAACATGGACGTCACTTTCAGTAAAAGGCCTATAACAGCCCACTTAGTTTGCCAAAGAGCAATTAAAGGACAGAGCGTGAGGAAAAAGATTCTGGTGAAACAAATATTTAACTCTTTGGGCTGAACCCCAGAAATGGAAAAAGCTGCCCAAATCCATGTGTGCAAAGGTTGTAGAGACTTATCCAAGTAAACTGTAAATGCTGCCAAAGGAACTTCTAAAAAAGTATTGAATTAAGGCTCTGAATTCTTTTGTGAGAGATTTCAGTTTGATTTGCATAAATTTACAAACATTTTTAAAAGACATGTTTTCACTTTGTCCATATGGATTAAGTGTAGACTGATGGGCAAAATGGAAATTTTATACACTTAAAATTCAAACAGTGAAGGGGTCTGAATACTTTCTGAAGCCACTATCAATGAATTAAGCAAATAAGGTGATTTTACAGTAGGTGAAATAAGAACTATAAACAGCAGAAACATGAAGACAAGACCAATAGAGCTGAAACAAGTAGTTGATTACAGCTATTTAGATAAACATTCTCTGGTTCAAGCATCTTAATGAGGAATTGCTACTTTTCTTTATATTATACAATAGTAAATTGGTTATCTTTGGATTTTGGACTACTGAGCACACAACGCACTTGAAGGTGTTACCATGGGCTTAAGAAAAACTTAAGGATAAGCCCTGTCATTTTCTATATTAATATTTTCAGCAATCTCCATACAGAGATTAAAACTGGCAATGAATTGCCTCTATTCAAGGTTAATGTCTGTCGGCTGCCAGTCCTGGATTAGCTTGCTTGTCTGTGTGACAGACCTCCACTGTTGTTCAAAACACATCAGGGAAACACACTGCAGCACTGGGTGACATTTTTTTTATTACGAAACACCAGATCCGACTATGTTATCCCAAAAGTCTCTGAGTGGCCTTTCATTTTCAAGAGGCAGAGTTGACTGCACGTGTGAGATCTTGCGTGAGCTCTCAGCTTTGTTTACATTCCACTAGCTTGTCACACTCAGATCTGGTGTTTGCTAATGAAGAACAATGTCACCCAGTGCAGCGGTGTGTTTCACTGAAGTGTTTTTAATTATTTTTGAACAACAACGGAGGTCTATGGCACAGACGAATAAGGTGATCCAGGACTAAGAAACTGATGGACATTAACTTTGAGTAGAAGCGAATCATTGTCCGTTTTAGTCTCTGTATGGGGAGTGTTGAAAATAGTTAGTATAGAAAATGACCAGCCATATCCCTTAACAGGCAGCTGTCTCTATTTACTGTCTCTTTTGATTCTATAAGCCCAAAAATAATAAATCTAGAAAATATTGGGTCCATTAATTGATAATGAAAATAATCACTATTTACATCCATAAAGAGTACAGCTTCCAAATAATACTTAAAGTCCAGGCTTTCATGATAAAAAAAAAAAAAAACACAAAACAAAAACTAACCTTATCCTTTTCAAACTCGGGTATGCAGGGGTAAGTGTATATGGTGATGTCACCAGGTGCAAGGAGCTTGGCATGGATCGCTGTGCTCTTGCCATCTGTCTCATTTGGATGCTTGATGATGTCTATCTTCACAGGAAGCTGAGCACAACATACAATATGTAGAATCAAGTCCAGTAGACTGTCACATCTATCACATCCAGTAGAACATTTCGCAGGTCTTCCAGAAATGACATTTTCCACCACATTAGGAAACTACCACAGAAAGTCTAGAGCTGAAGGCCTCTCTTCAAAGAACAATCAAGTGAGTGCTAATCTCTTACTGACCTTTACAATGGGGATTTCTTGCAGGTTGACACCAACTAATGAACAGCACGTGTAGCAGAAGAACATCCGTGATCCTCCACATTTAGAGCACTTCACCCTGCCCCTCTGCTGCGCTTTCTCCAGTACTGCATGCGAAGCCAATTTTAGATCTGGGAGAGGTTGCTTGACAAGCTGATGGATGTCTGAAGAATCACCAGCCATTGTTGCTTTGCCACGGCAACCAGGATCAAGATGCTGGTCTTGATCCAGACGGCTCATGTTTGCTCTTTAAATGATGATAGACTAGTGCTAGAGAAAGGCCCTACATTCATAGCTGGACAAAAAGGACAAAACAATTTAGGCAAAAATTAGCAGACAGAAATAATCAAACAGTTACATAACTTCCAAAGTGAGGGACAAAATACTGTGGAAAAGCCACTAAACAAGTGAGTTTTTAAAGGCCATACAGGAGTATCTGTTCAGATAAATGAGGGAAATTTAGTTGGGAGATACTGGGTATTGTAATATAACATTAATATTGTGAACAAGACTGAATAATGTCTGAGTTTTGTTGCTGTAATGATAAGATGCATCTTGAATGGTTCCTGGTTATAAAAGATGTATAGCAGTACAATAACATGAACTCCCATACATGACTCTCATTCCTCAAGTATGAAAACGTCAACATTCAGACTCATTATGAGCAGAAGCACAAATACCCCAATACCGGGGTACAAGGAACTTCCAGGCTGAAGGATGAGCAGAAGCACAAATACCCCAATACCAGGGTACAAGGAACTTCCAGCTTAGGTATTCAAGACAAATAAGAGTGTTGCCATTTGACAAAGACAGTAGACAGACTGTCATGAGCAGTGGGAAATAATGCGTTTACAAATATGAAGTACTTGAACATAAATTTTCTGGTATTTTATACTTATACTTCACAAGACTTAACAGCAAACATTATGAATGTGTACAAGTGTCCTAACTTTTCATACTATTTTCTGAAGTTTTAAAACCCAAACAATGAATGGATTAAGAATTATAAGCTGAATAATTAATAATACACCTAATCAGCGGTTGGTCTGATGTAGATAAAATAAATCAAGACCACCTCAAACAGCTACAGAAGTAAAATGCTTCTTACACACGAATTAATTAATGAAAATATAATGATATAGAATTTTATAAAACTCACAAGGCATATCCAGGTTGAGTAGTCTTACTTCTAATTAATTTGGATAAGTACGTGTATAAGTACATGTAGCTGATTATACTAACTTAATTTTAGTTAAATAAAGCTTCGAATGCAGGACTTTTACTTGTAATTGAGTATTTTTAAAGTGTGGTATAAGTACTTATCTGACAAATGAGAATACTTCCTCTGCTGAGCATTAGCTAAAGTGTGAAAGCTGCTGGTGAAAGAATGTAAAATGTGCTACACACAAATCAAACCATTCGCAATTGAGAATTTTGAAGAGTACAACATGCAGCTAACATTTTATCCCACACTGCTAATGTTTCAGTAACTTAGTCAACGTTACCCGATTGATTCCAGTGAAGCTAGCTTCTGTTAGCTAGCTTTACACGGCCAACATCATAGTGGCCCCAAGCTAGTTAGCGGTGGCTAACTATTATAACAGACCAAATGAAAACAGACGTTGTCTGCTAGCTAGTCACAGTACACAGCCGAAATTAAAACGTGCCTACTGAGGTATAGTCCAAAACATCCATAATATACACACGTGTATCTATTTTTGCCGTACAACGAAGTAAACCTCTTCTTCTACGCCGGAAAAGCTGATCCGACTGGAGGACTTTGGTGCTTTTGTGCCACGGATGTATCATTGGGAGAACTTTCGTTTAGTAATACATACAGTAAATGTTTTGTGCAATTATAGTATAGAAAAACTTCGTATATACTATCCACTCACCAGCTTTCATAAACGGTTAATGTTATGCTCGTCTGTTGCATATAAACATAATATTCCCCTCGCAAATAACTTACTACATTTGGAATGACCACCAAACATTGACTGCATGGCAGAAAAGGAGCAAGGCAGCCAAAAAGAGAGATGCAAAACTGAGACTGAAATGATCACCACCCACTCATCCCTGCAGTTTGTGGTCATTTCTCTTCTTTTTTTAAGGATGTTTTACATCTTTCCTGGGGATGTTTTGCATCTCTTTGTGGTTGTTTTCTGTCTCTTCCTAGTCATGTTGCAACTATTTGTAGTCTTCTTTCTTTGCAGTTTTTTTTTGTGTCTATGTGGTGGTTTTCCTTCTTTTTGGAGCCATTTTACATCTCTTTGTGGTCAGTCTGCATCTGTTTCTGGGATATTTTGAAGGTGAAGACCATGGCCCCCTCCCATTGAGCACATGGGCTTGTGCCCATTCCATTCACATATTGTGGTCTAATTTTCTGACCCAATTCTAAATCAGTGTTTTCACTACAGACTGGATGCATATTTTTTTGAACTGTCATCTACTTCTCATGTGAATAAAAATAAATACTGAATTAAAATAAATTAATTTCAGTTATTCTTATTTGTATTCACTCTACTACAATGGAAAATCCTGCAGTGCTCATGCTGTCATTCTAATATACTGCCCTTTAAAGTCATGTTGCATTAGCAAAATTAAAATATTTCCTCAATATGACTGATTAAAGAGAAAACCGGTTTAAAATATTAATATGCATTTGTTTTGTTCAAAACCAGATGTGCTATAATAGAAAACAGGTTGTTTAAGTCAGATTTTAAAGATACCTGAGCTGTTGCACTTTTTATGAAACGATTGCATGCAAGCTTGCATGGCAAAGAAATGTGTATCAAATGAGACCTTCCAGTGTCATCATATTAGATTACAAACAATCAGAACTCTGCCAAATGTGTGCCAGGTTGCTTTGAGAATCATGGCAGTGAAACACAGTTCAGTGATATTAGTTATATTAGTCACACCAAGCTGAGCTGTCATCACTGGAACCAGCACGGAATCAGGGACACTGTGTCTTTTATATGTGGCCATCTGTTGTTTCTCCTTGCTCCACAGATTCAAAGTGACTCTGATCTATAAAACCATACAGAATATTTAAAGCTTTAGTTTACATAGACATGATTTCTTCCTCCTCTGCACTGCCTTTGCCTTTAAATTGTCACATAGCTACACACAAAAATGTAGTTTACATGTCCTATCATTAAAATGAATGTTTTCTCGTGCTTTTTGTTTGATCTTACCTAGAAAAATAATAAAAAACTGACTGTATTTCATGAACGTTTTAGTGTTGACAGCAATCCAGATTAAATTAAAAAAAGATTGTTAGTGGGGCTTTTTTTTCTTCTGTATTTTATGTTGTTGCCAGTTCTAACTACAGCCATACAAATGAAAATATAAAAACCAAGTACTCCACTACAATGGAGGTAAACAAATTATACTTTGCACTGATCAAAACACTGAACAATTACAGTTGAAAAACCAGCTTGCAACAACAATGACCCTGTTTGCCTGGATAATCCACAGACCCTGCATTCAATTGTTTTTAATGGGGCTATTTGGTGTTTGAATGTCATTCCGATCCAGTTATAATATTGTATCAGCAATGAATGTGTAAACAAATTAGGCATACAGTATGTGAGCACCATTCAGTAGCTTTCAAAGCAAGAAATGAATTTATGGAAAGCCACATGATGGGTCAGCTGGTCTTCTTTTATGAATACTTAGTGCGGCAGCAACTGCTACCACAGTCGTGTGGGTCAGCAAACAGAATATGCAGCATGTTCTGCCCATAGCTGGGGAGTATGGAAAATACTATCAAAAATGTTACAAATGCGTGTTTAACGTTTTGTCTGTAACAAGCGATTTGTGTGTGTGTGTGTCATGCTGTTCACAAATGCATGCTGTACAAACTGCACATAAAACACATTTTACAAATGCTTAAAATCGATTTTTTTTGTTCAGTTCTTTAGAAAGTACGTACACATTGTTACCTACGCATGCGTGGATCGTCTAACACACACGAATCACCTTCCGCGCACACACGGATTTTTGAGTGTTTTTCCGCACTCTCAAAAGTCCACGATCCACGAATAAACGTGCGTTTAAGGACACGTGGAAAACTCGGACATCTGATTTTCCCAAACAAAAGTATTTACA